GGAGCTGTCTCTGGGCGCGGTTCAGCTTTTCGAAGAGATAGTTGATTAACTCGACAGTCATGACGGCGCGTGCATCGGACATCCTGTGATCGTTCGCATTGCTGCTGCTGCTGCTGCCTCTGCTGCCGCCGCCGTTACTAGCTTGAGTATGGGTCTCAAGTTCGCTGTGAAGTGCGGAGCAGGCGTAGACGAATGCGCTGTAGACCTGCTCGCAGACTGAGACTGCGTGGAGCACTAGGCTGATCGACGTCCGCGAGCCGTGATCCACAACAGTTTGAGGGTCCTGTTGATCTCCGTCGCCGCCGGGCATTGAGCCCTCGTTCTGCTCCAGCCGTACTGTTGCCGCAATTCGCTCCAGAACCTTTAGCACCGATTGTGTCAATGCGAGTAGCTCATCTGTAGACGGAGTCCCGGCTTCTGTTATGACACGATACGCCCTGACGCTCAGTTCGGTTAACTCTCGCATATCCGTCTCCGTCGCATCCCTCATGTTGCTTGTGTTCTCTGATCTGGGGCTTTCGGCAGGCGAAGTCCGATCCGCTAAGAATTCCATCCCGTGATCTAGGTTAACATTAGGCTCAAGGGATGGCGTATTGACTGTATCTACCCCGTACTGCATCAACTGGTCCATTGCCTGGAACGAAGCCATCGACCTCGCGTCCAGCCAGAAGAGGTCGTTGGAAGGCCCCGAAGAGCTTTGCAGCATTACGTCAGGGCACGTCGGCGTGCGAACAGGCCACTTCTGAGTTGATCCATTGTTGCAAAAGTCTAGGCTCAAACTTGAGGTCGAGTTCGATCGCGCGTCTCTGGAGGCGCCATTCGTGGATAGTGAGTTGTTGATCGATGGGCGTCCGCTGCGTCGACGTCCTGTTCCTGTGTCAATCTTCCCAAGTGGTTTCAAATGCGTTACGCTGCGAGTAAAGGAAAAGCAACCAGCAGCATAGATATAGACATAATAAAGCGGCATGTAACCTACGGTTGTGTATACAACGAGCCCCGGCCTTCAAACAGCGCACGCAGCGGTTTGATGAACTGCGGGGATCCTTTTCGCATCGGACCTTGAGATCTCGACATCGATCACATGTTTGTCGGAGCGGCATGCCAGTGTCCGCATCGACGTCGGACATTGTGTAAATCTGCACTATCAACTTCTTGAGCCAAGTGTTAACAACACGGGCCGCATGCAATGAAGAGCGGATACCGCTGTTCAAAATACTACGAAGTGTCTCGGTCTGGTCCCGCACCAACCGTATTTAAGAGCTGAACTCAATCACACCTCTGTAGGTGGGCGGGTCTGGACAGGTATCTTCATGGAGTTTTCTTCCATTCTTGCAGCGGCTTGACAACCAAATGGCGTGCTGAGACTAGGAAGGTCACACACATTAGGTAGGCAGAAAGGCTCATGCCAGCGTAGAAACTTGACGAATGGAAACTATACAGGGCTACATATTGACCCCTGCACAGTGTCTGGCCAAGATATTATGTGGCAGCAAGTCGAATATGTAGCGCCAATCCGTCCCGTGTCCCGTAAGGCGTTACAGCCCCCGCACTAACATGCATGATAAGACTTACGCTAGACGGGAAAGGCTATGTATTTTTTCTTACCCTCGCTGCCTTGCTAAGCTGCACTAACGCTCATCCTGTCTTGTTGTGGCATCGCACAACGAAGCCTCGTTATCAGAACCAATTTATGAGTTCTTGGGGGCATCGACGATCTCCTTGTTTTCAATATAAACCCTTTCGTACCCAACCATAATCTCCCCCTTTGTGGAATCAATCCATTCAGCCTCTACCGCTCGACCAAGTGTCTGATACTCCGGATCGCTCGTAATTGACAGCATGTGCTTGAGATCACGAACCCAATAGGTCAGGACCGCGTGGGAGCTAATCACGGTCCAACCCGGGCGGACTTTGTCCACCGTCTCCGCGAGACCCGCCGAAACATCAGACGGGCAGAATGTCTGGGTGCCCCAGACTGTCAGCCAAAGTCACTAATGCAAGGGAGCCATGCCTGACAAGGCAGAGAGAGACAAGGGGTGGCTGGATGAATACTGACCACAGTGTACCTCATCACGCCGTGCTTCTTCACAAGCTCCGTCCAGGCGGGGTTAATGTTTTCGTGGAAGTGCTTCTCAAACTCTTCGTCCGTCTTACTAGGATCCTTGTAGTGCAAGGCCGAGACCTTGAGGACATCTCGAGAAGCCATTCTGGAAGAGGGGTGCTGGGACGTGAGCAAAGTCTTGTCCGATTAAGGGAAGAATAATCGTATGGTGGTGTGATTTACTATGTAGGATGACAAGAAAGGGATCACTGCCAGGGTGGCCCTAGGCGAGGCTTTGTATTTTTTCCTCCCCAACCCATGGCTCATGCGAGACGGCAGATCCTGTACCAGTCACTCTTGCAGAATCGTTATTTGACACGGAGACAACGGCGGGTTCCTATTCATCCGACTTGAAGGATTCGTACTCACACCAATAAGATCGGCTCGGTGTGTTGGCAATATTCCGCTGCTGCATCGCCGTAAGCATATGTACCTCGCTGCGAGGGTTCGGATGAAAGTCAGCCTCCTCTAAGCTGCGGCCCGCTGCGGAAGGCCGACGGGGAAAGAGCCGATCCCTCGAGAGAGGGAACATCGGTGAGATCTTGCACAAGAGTGAAAAGATGACTTTTCAAGCCTACCACGGCCAAATTGGGAAAAGATCAGAAGTCCCTCATTACTATGTAGAAACTACAGAAGAGCGTTTCAGGCAGTTTGTTGTTTGGTCACTGGAACCGGCTGCAATGAAAACAGTATAACATGAGTATCGCGAAGAAGTCAATATCTTATTAAATGTAAAATTACTCACATAATTACCTAAACTTCCAGCCTGTCTTCTTAATGTTAATGTCCGCTTCTCTATGTGATTGCTAGTCCTGGTCCGACGGCCGATCCTTGCGGTCATAATCATTCGACGGCGGAATCCGCATTTAACCCCCACGCTTGCAGAATCGGCATTTTATATAGAGCAAAGACTGGCTGCACTCGTGAGCTCATCGAAGGATTCGACTCCATTCTTCTGTTCTGTCCCTTACCAGCGCCAACAACTTGCCGGTACTACCATCATCGAGCTACTCCTGCTTCCAAAGACCAATAACTCGCCAAGTCTCAATCATGTCGCTACTCTATTTCGTACCTGTGGTCTCGTCTACTGTGACACTGTGGCTCGCAGTCGACCAGTACTTGTTTTTTGGAATCTTCCTGAACAAAAAGGTCGAGCCGAACACCAAAGACGTCCTCACACCTTACTGGAATAGGATGATCGAAACTGTCGTCCCTGCGATCATCGCGCCCCTCCTCGTCACTGTTGCCTCCACCACCGCCATCCTCAGCACCACTTCCGAGGAGCTCCTCCGCGGGAAGGGTTCCTTCTCGTGGTACATTGCCAGCACCGCCCTCGCCGCCTCGCACTTTGCCTTTGTGCCGATTATCCTGCCCAAGATCAGAAGCATACAGAATGGAGCGCTGACGCCAGGACTCAGACGTTGGATGCGTATCCACATTGTCCGCAGCGTGACTGTGGACCTTCTCGCGTGGATTACCTGCATTGTCGCCAGCGCCAAGACACTGTCGGTGTGATTGAAGTCGGGCGGTATTTCACCTCATTGGCGGGTGGTACGAGGTGCAGGGGACGGGCTTGGGGACGGGCTTGGGGATGGGTTTGTTGGGGGTCTTGAAGGGAGACAAAACTCTTGGCCTACATCGAACGTCCTATTACTGAGGCAATGTTGTCTCAATGTTGCAACATCGGCTGACAATTCGCGTATGGGTGTGATGGAATAGGCTATGCATACGGTAGTGGGTGTCGGGTGATTAAGTCGGCTATTTTGACGGCAGCAATCAAGTCTGTATTGTTGCGATCCCTCCTGCGTTGGCCAAGTGACATTATCCTGCTTGCGCCGCAGTTGTCCCATGATATGAGATAATATTCATAAATAAAGTGGAGGCCTTTGATACTGCTTTAGCATCAACTGAAGCCTCGTTAGCTAACGGGGTTCCCCAAACTCCGCCAAAATTCCCATTGATCTTATGTTGGCTGCCAAAGGGTACTGACCTCATAATAGTTTGTACGTTACACATCTTCAAATTCCCAGTCATCTGTTCACATGCTATTGGAGAGAGTTCTTCCTAATCTCCACAGAGCGGATCTCTCTATCCGGAAGATGATGTATACATGCAATGCGCACCTTGAGTGCTGGTGATAGCAGCAGCCATCAGTAAGCCAATAAGAGAATACGTTGAAAACTTTCTAAAGTCCCTAAAGACAGAGATCGAACGGAGCTTATTCAAGTATTTGGGTTCATTTCATAATTGATATCTGTAGCACCGAGGAATCATGCTCTTTTGGAATCTACAAGTCCTCTCGGGCTAGCCTTGGGGTCATCCCGTTGACTTTTCATTCGCCAATATAGTCTTGATAGATAATCTCATTAAAAAGCCACTTATTGTATCGAACCAAAGACTGCAAGATGCAAGAAGCCTGGTCACAAATAGATCATTAGAAAATATCATAAAGTAGATGACGCATGGGCTACAAATATGCGTCAAAGCTTTAAAACTGTGCCGTATCTTCGACATTCTTCACATCTTGTGTTAGCTGCGATTATGGTCTTATTCATTACTACTTTTTCTCGGCGTCTCTGGCTTACCACCGCTGAAATGATCATCTGTTTGCCGAGCCTTGGATCATCCTTCCCGCTGAAGCCACGTTGGTCGAGGTCAGCTGACAGAATCAATAACTCACAACTCTTTTTTTTTTAGAGCTTTTATTAATTGAAGGCATCGTGAGTTGTGTAATGCTACGGATACGTTCTTGCAATGGGGGCTTGTATGCTGCCTCATCTGCCATGTGCCGTGTACCATGTTCACAAAGCCCCACCATTAGATGCATATCATAGTTTCTTGCCTGTATCTGATACGTGAATACTGCCGTCTAGTCTAATAAGCCGACAACACTCCACTGTCACCAGCTTCCCCGCCGCTTCAGAACTAACAATTAATGAAAGGTGCATAAAGCTATGATGGACCTGTATGGGCACTGTCATAAAATGCTTGTCTCTTATATATAGAGCTCCGCCTTCCGCTCCGACAGAAGCACCTGCGTAGTAGGCCTCCGCCCCAAATCAACCCCACCTAATAGCAACTAGACACTGTTTGTCGCCATTATGCAACCGATCCGCTTGTGGATGGCCGGTAAGTTCTCGGCAGGCATAATTCGCCGAGGATCTCGTTCTTATCTGTTCTCTAGGTCCCAAGGAGTCGGCAGGTCCGAACCCATGGAAAGTATGCTAAACAGCTGCATCAAAGGGAACTTTGCTCAGTATCACGCTTCATTCAGGTCCTTTTTATTCTGGAAGAGCTGGGTCTTCCATATGAGCTCAAAGTAATACATATATCCACGGTCAAGTCACCCCCTTTGACCGACCTCAACCCCAATGGTCGAGTTCCGGGTACGTTTCATATACGCGTGACTATCCTGGGATATGTGAAGCTGATAAACACGTAGTGATTGAGGATCCCAACCGGGATCTCGTCCTTTGGGAATCGGGCGCTGTGATTACCTACCTGGTTCAAGAGTACGACAAGGACAAGAAGTTGACACATGCTGGGGGAAACGAGATCCATCATCAGAATCAATGGGTCTACTTCCAAACCAGTGGTCAAGGTCCTTACTTCGGTCAAGCAGCATGGTAAGTCCCGACCCCTGTACCGATTCTGTCTTAGCTCTTGTTCGAATGATTCCGTAGGTTTAAGATACACCATCCTGAGCGTATTCAATCTGCCATCGACCGGTACCTGAACGAGATTCATCGTGTCCTTGGAGTCTTGAATAAGGCGCTCGAGGGTAAGAAGTGGCTTGTCGGCGATAAGATGACGTTTGCCGATATGGCCTTCGTGCCCTACAATAGCCTTCTTCACCTCGCGTTTGGTTGTGAGCCAGATGAGTCTTTGAAGAACTATCCCAACGTCGAAGCCTGGCATAGACGCATGTTGTCGAGAGACTCGTGGAAGAAGATTATGGAGTTGAAGAACACCCTAGAGATCAATACGTAAGTTCTTGTTGTCAAATAGTGTCTACTGGAGACGAAATCGATGTGGGCATGAATTCAAGGCCATCACGTCTACATTGATCTGCAATACTTCAAGTCGCGGTGCCTACCCAAAAGCGGGGCCTACCCAAAAGCAGGGTCGCTGTTTTGGTCCAACATGCCAAAACCAACCCAAACTAGTACGAGAAAAGGCTCTGTGATTGCAAGGTGTCATTATCTCCATAGATGGCAACTATCAGATGCTTGACACTATCTAGGAAGAAGTCTTGGACGATCTGGTCAACGAGTAGAGCCCTCTGTTCAGCAACAGTAGTAGTCTAGGGGACCGTCGCAGTGCAGAGTCTCAGCAGAGCAGGTTGTTATTACCTTTTAGCAACCTAGTGCCTAATTTTCACAGGCTAGATGCAGAGCAGCGTCGTTTAGTGATAGAACCTGTGGTTATTATTAGTAGATGTCTCCTTAATTGTAGGTAAGTGTATAAGGACCTGGCAGAGACAAGTGTTTCCTAAGGGATTGCGGTTTTGCAGCAGCGTAACTTTATAGCTAGGGATGCAGTAGCCTAGAGACTTAGTGCTGGACAGATACCAGTAGGTTAGCAGATGCCCTGTCATTAGAGAAGCTGTAAGTAGGTTGCCTGGTTTGTTAGTCTGCTACGCTTGTACTAGAGTAATGCGTGTATATTGTCTTATAATAGCCCTTTAAGGGCGTTGTTAAACGTTGTCCCCAGGGGCCAGGTGACCAGCACGCATGGTTTTGTAGCAGGGTGTAGACAGAGAGTAAGTAATATAGAGGTAGTCTTAGAGAGAGTTAGGGTTAGCCTAACAGAGTGAGGTCAAATAATACAGTGTTGTAATCAATTTGTAGTCTAAGTGATACTTTAGTACTTTAGTTACTTAGTCGTAGCGTAAATAAATCAAGTTGTTACTAAAAAAAGAGATCCTTTTTCTTTTGAATGTTGTTCCCTAAATTGCCTTGGTAATACGTAAGCCTAATACCAACCCTTCTTTACCTAAAGTGATTGTCAAGTCCCGTGAACCCCCGGAGGGCCTTCCGAACTGTGGAAAGGGGTTGCAGGGCGGAGCCCTGTGACACCGCAGCGGAGCGGAGGTGTTCATGCTGTCATTGGAAGCACCACCGACAGTCATCGGTGGCCCAACCCACTTTTAATCGGCGTCATGGCCCCACATTCAATCGGTGGAGCGGAGCTGGCCCACTGTTAGTACATATTCAGTTCAGTAAATCTTTCTAAATCAGCGGTAGCGGTTATTCAAAAACTAGTACGTCCTTTGTTACTAGGCGATCAGGCATTAATAAGTTTCACTTATTTCCTCCAAGTTTAAAGCGATTCTACTTGCGTGTAAGTGCTTCATATAAATGGGCGAAAAAGGTTTTAGACAGGAAGCTACTGAGTAGACCAAAGGCTTTCTTTCACTATTCTCGTCTTGGATTGTTGACAACGTTTCCCAATATGCCGTGAGGGTGCCCCATGGCAACATACCACCAACGCCATTAAGATCCGAGAAGCGCAGTATACCAAACTATTTCGAGATACAACTGTAGTTCGAGCAAATACCCCAACCGAGAGCGCATCAAATTTCGGGCGATACGAAATAAGTCGAGGTTGCTTTTCCGCTCACTTCGAAACAGGGACTTTCACAACGCTGCGCAAGAAAGACAAGAAGCAAAACGAAGTGTATTTTCCCTAGCAGACAGCTGTCAACAACGGCCTGGTCGGGCTTGGTTGGCTCCAAGCTTCTCATCGAGAGAGGAACGAGGCTCAGTCAACGCCTTGTCGTGCCGTACATCCATTACACGGCCAAGTAAGCCAACTAAGTTCGGATGATGTGATCTGTGCTGAAATCGAGATACAAATATCAAGTCACCGTTATGGAGCTGGCGATAGCCTCTTATCGTTTCGACCACAGCCCCGGCAAATATCCTCCAGGTATTCCTGTTGCCCCCCATAACAACATGGACAGCACGAGTCGCCATCTTATCCATTTCGGCAACAAATATGACTCGTATCTAGTTCCCCCCTTTCGCCCCCGCAATAAATGACTATCATAGCCAGAGCAAGTTTTCGGTCAGAATGATTATTGCATGCAGAAGAATGCCAGGTTGGCACGAAAACAAGTTCTTATAGGATTACAGTGGCATTCATGCCGCAATATCGAGCCATGTCACAAGCAGGACGCCCATCGTACGAAACTATGACTGCTGAGACGGAAGGCCTTATGGCGGTCATACAAAACCCCAGCGCATAAGGCTTCGACGGAAAAGGACGTCTTGCTGATGTTCTATCACCTGTCAGATACTCAACCAATGGTTTGCAGAGACCATGTTCAATCCCACCAGATTCGAACAGAAGGGCGAGAAAGCAAATGGTCATATTATTGACGATGTCGTGACATATAAGCCATAATTGCGCAATGGTAACTACGGGTCCGCTCTTATCATCACAGATTATCAGACCTAATATCTTTAAGCAACCACATGACGTGAGCTTCGCTGGCCTGTAGTCATCTTATCCAACACGCAATAAGATATGTCGCTAGATATCATCAATCGACTGAACACATCGTACTGATATCCGTGACTCCGGTCCGGTTGTTCTCGAGTACCGCCAAATCGGGAATTAGTTAGGCGTCGGAACGCCATGGTCACACTCTTCAGCTTGCACACGTACAGGACTTTCCCCGATTTCGCTGTGTCATGCAATACGGCACACGTGTATAGTATACATGGATGGTTACGAAGCACACTGCGTATGTATACGGAAAATGGCCAATGACATGCTAACTCGCTTCGCGGATCAGTCAGCTACAAACCGTTCTCTGGCCAAAGGCTTCTATCAATTCTTGAGGTGGAACGACATGACGCGACAAGCCTGTCCGGAACTCCGCCGTCGGAACTCTTAAACCAGCGTGGCGGTGCCCACCAAAAAGGTGTCGAGCCTGGATTGGCACATTGGCAAATGACAAGCCCAACCAAGCTTATGGCCTAGCCACCTTGCCAGGGCTTGTTCCCACTGATCGGCGCCTTGGAGAACCATTCGCGCTGAAGCGAGCATTAGGTGCCCACCGGCTGTAGCCCTACTGCCAGGCACAGGCAGGTACGCGCAGTGTGGAGGGAAACCTGTATTTGAGAAACTGACAGGCCGACTCCATTCCATTACCACACCAGATCGCTGAGAGGGGAAACCCGGCGGGTGCGGCATGGGCGGGGGCGTCTCTTCAATGCAGGGCACCATACGACAGAGCTAAGGAAGCGAGGTACTTAAATTAGCCTGTCATGAAGAGTCCTAACAACGCTGGTCCTTGCTGCGCCGCGCATCCATACCGGAGTGTAGCATTCGTATCGTAGTGTTGATGGGTTATCGCGTTGTGGCAATTCCCTGACTATGTACGGAGTATCCGTAGACATTGGAAGATGATACTACCTTCTAGCGCCATTGCATGTCAACGTCGCTACCGCGATCAACGGTTGGAGCTTCTCATGATGGAAGTATGTGGCCCATCGCAACTGAGCTGAAAACTTTGTTAAGGGCCTGAATCCGTATTCTCGGCACTCCCGGCCGACGTCCTTATCTTTTACCAGATTCTGTGGAGGTTCATGGCTTCCTTCGCACGCATGCCCGAAGCAGCAAGTTATCGACGTCACAATTGGCAGGGAAGATATCAAAACAATGGGCTGGCTGGCTGGTGGTTCAGACTTCACAGCAATCTCAATTTCTCTACAGGGCGGGCGGGTTTCCATACGAGATGGGGGCGGTGGGGTGACACTAAGAAAAGGTGGACGAGGAACACTGGGTCTGACTCGCGAAGTGTAAAGACAGGGATTATTCACATATGGTCCGTTTATAAAGCTTGAGGGGCGACGCTCAATTTCCCCTTTCCATCCAACTCCTTTCAATTCATCAATCTTGGACGTTCGTTATAGTCACTCGCTCACACATCGCATTTTTATCTTAATACAAAACCTCAAAAAAAAAAAAAAAAAAGACACCACTTTACACTTAATTTTTCCACCAACAACCCGACAACATGTTCTCCAAGGCTACCATCGCTATCACCGGCCTTTTGGCTCTGGCCGAGGCCGTCAAGGTCACCAAGCCCGCCAAGGGTGACGACTGGGACCTCTCCGAGACCAACGAGATCGAATGGGAGACTGTCTCCAGCGACCCCAAGAGCTTCGAGATCATCGTCATTAACCAGTCCAGCTACCCTGGAGTTTCCCAGACTATCGCCAAGGTCAACGCTGCCGATGGCAAGTACGAGCTGAAGGACCTCAAGGTCGCCCCTGGTGACTCCTACCGCATCAACCTCGTCTCCACCGACCCCCAGAACTCCGGTATTCTCGCTCAGTCCGAGGAGTTCGCCCTGACCGGAAGTAAGTAGAGCTGCTATGGCCCTGCCCCTTGGGCTTTCAAATCACTGAATGCTAACTTGGGTTTGTGTTTTCAGGCGATGATGACAGCTCTTCTGCCTCTGCTTCCGCTACCGCCTCAGCCAGCGCCTCCGGCTCTGCCTCTGCCTCTGCCTCTGCCACTGCCACTGGTTCGTCTTCCGAATCTTCGGCCACTGGCTCCGCTACCAAGACCGCTTCTGGCCTGACTACTGTGACAGGGTCTGCCACCGCCACGGCCTCTGGCGTCGCCAGCTCTGGTAGCGCTACCGGCACCGCCACCGGTACCGCCGCCTCCGGCACCTCCTCCACCGCCCCCAACAGCGCTTCCGGCATCAAGTCCACCTTCGCCATCTTCGGCTCCGTTGCCGTTGCCGCCTACATGCTCTTCTAAGCAAGATGCGTACAGCACGATCTTGTTTTTCTGAAGTTTTGACCGATTATGATACCAACCGGCGACGAGAATCGGATGTAGCGACAACTGTCCAAGTGCATTGGACCTGGGAGTGGAGGAACATACCACAAAAAAAAAAGGGACGGGATGATGTCTAGCGTTGCCTTCACACGTTTTGAAATCATGTTTATAGACTAATGTCGAAGCTTTGCTACTGGACCCCCTCCATCTACAAAGCGCCTTCAACCACGCGTCACTAGTGAATGGGCGAGGAGCACTCGGCCGAAGGAACCCGGCAGGCGATGTTGGCGTGTACTAGGTTATGACCCCCCAAGTTTTTGTGCTTTTCAGGCCGCAACCTCAGCGCGGAGATGAGCAGTTCCATGCCGTTGGTTCCGAGTTACAAAAAGTCTTATGGCTATCTCCACTTTTGAGTGAACTCGTATTAATTATGGATACGAGATGGCGCACCCAATTCGAATCCCTTATGCTGCACAACCCTGCTGCTCCCCCCCCTGATCGCCCACCTCAACATGCAGCTTTGGCGTTTGCTGATCCCCCAATTGAGATTGATGACAGGGTTCATGCAGGGATGGGTACTCACTATCACCCACCACGTCTGGAAATTAGACCGGGTGGCGTTGCCGTCGGATGCGCAAACCACGACTGTAGCGTAGATCGTGATAATCGAATGTTATGGGCCTATCAATTTTCAAAAGGGATGCTGACCAGTCTCGTATCACCACGAAACCGAGGTAGGAAAACAGCGAACGGCCTCTACACTCTGGAACTTCTTTTACATTGAATTCTTAGCAACTTATGATACAGAAATATGCAATCGCGCAGCAGATAATTAGTATGCCAACTTACCTGAATGTCTGGGCTATAGAAACATTCTAGCGGATGCGCCTACAAGTGCGCCTTTGCTAAGAGAACTCGGGTTCTATTGGAGACGTCCTATTGGGTGGGTGCTGAAAGCTGCGATTCATTAAAGGAACAACTGGTCAGTTTGAGATGGCGCTGAGGAACCACTTGACTCGGCGGAGTAGCTCCTCAAGTTCAATTGAGACGTATTCTTAACCTGGCCGATGTGTTTATTTCTCATTCAATCGAGACTATGGATTGAGTTGACCACAACAATCTGCGGAGTCTTTCTGCGACACCGGCCCTTGTAATGCATATTATCCAGTAGAGCTTCCAAGTCGTGCTAGCCAGCTGCCCACGCTGAGAAATGTAATTCACACTAAAACTCATAGATAACCTGAGATTGCTGACCACGCACAGGTTATACCTTTTCAACAATACGAGAATTTAGGTTTTTTTGCGTAATGTTACAAATTTGACGAATATTTATGCTATGGACTGGTAAGACCTGGGTGGCCGAAGCGTGTTTTCTAACGAACTAATTGTATGTGGACCAATCAGCCTAAACGCGCTGCCGTTAAAAAGACAACGTTCGGGCTCTTTAGTCAGCCGGATGGCCCTTGACAAGTAATGAATCGTCTTCTTTGGACAAGCATGGCCTTACGTACCGGCATGTCCTGGTTCGACTCAGGCTGTAATGATGGGATGCTTCCTCGCCAAAAAGTCTCTCAGGTACACCCAGCAAACTAGTTATTCAAACACGATTGAAATAATGCTCTAAACTGAGTCGCAGTGGACATTCAAATGTCGTATTTAACTCTACTCGTTCATCCAAGGGCTTAACTCGGCTAACATGGAGCATCGCTTCCCTCGACCATCTTCCCAGGTATCACCATCTGCAATTTCAAAGACTGCCTGCAAAGGTGGGGAATCAAACTCACCGGGCATATGGCTAGTGATGTGTAAAGTAACCATGCCGTCAAAGGATGAATCATTCTCGACCAGTACACCGCCAGTCACATTTGCATTCAGCATGCTGGCTACTCCTTCTCCTCCTTCTTTCCACTGCGGCCAAAAGGCCGTGCTCGGGCCAGCAGTATCCCGCAAGGTCGGCGCCCCGTTCACAATGAAGTCGCCCCAAGCGGTCTGCAGCGCGCGTCTTAGGGACCTCGGAACGGTCGAGTTGGGGGTATCCACTGGCGCGAGGAGTACATCGTAACCAGACCCGGTGCCCACGTCGAAGCCATGGTAGGCGGGTGAAGCACTGAACTGGTAGCGCCATGCTCTGCCTCCAGCTTTGGTAGCGTATGCATCGGCGAGCCAGTGTGAAGGGCATACGAACGTAGCCTCGGCGTAGAAATTGTTAGCTACTTGTTGCCAGCCCACGGCGTAGTTGGACATGGTGGTGGCAAAGGGCGCGTTGCGGCCGTCTGTATCGAAGCCGGGGTCTGTGTTGTTCACGTCTTTCGAATTAGCCATGATGAAATCCTCGTACTTTTGCGTGTACAGGGCGAGGACTTCAGTCACGTTGGATGCGGTTAGCTTGGGGTAGTAGCTCGTCAGGAACTCGACAAAAGTCGCCTGAGACGTGATGTTCTGCCAAGTGAAATACGGGCCCTCATTTGCGACATTGCTGGTGAGCAGGCGGACGCCCTTGACGCTGTCTGGTCGCGAACCGAGATGCCTCGAGGCAATGTTTGTGAGGAGCTTCCCGTCAATGACGGGTCTCCATTCCCAATGGCCATATAATGAGCCCTGGGTACTCACCCAATCGCTGGCGTTTTGAAGCGTAATCGAGTCTACGTTCTGCATGCAAGCAAAGCGGGATGAAGTTTCGTTGGTCGAAGAACAGCCTACACGGTCCGCTAGGCTGTGGTAAGCCTTTGTAGGCCGGACGCCATCAAACTGGCTGTTTTTTATACGGTTACTCCACCAACGCCGAATTCTGCATGGCAAAGGGCATAAACATAACTCACGGTTGGGTGGTAAGGTATGGACTGCTTGCAATCACCCCATCAAAGAGACCTTCGGCTTCGTCCGTTGTGGCTAGTAGAAGGGTCGCCCCAGCACCAGCGGATTGCCCTGCAACAGTCACCTTGCTCGGATTGCCACCAAATTTACAAATGTGCTTCTGCACCCACTGGAGCGCGAGGAGCATGTCGTGTAACCCAGCATTGGCAACGCCGTTCGCCACGACATCGGCCGAAGACAGGAAGCCAAAAGCGCCGAGCCGATATTGGATCACAACAGCGAGGTATTTATTCTCGTTTGTCGCAATCTGCGTGGAAAAGTCGTAATTCGCCGCCGAGTCAAGGCCATATCCGCCTCCATGGATCCACACAACTACGGGAAGATCTTCGGCACCAGCTGGTGCGAAAACATTCAAGAAGAGACAGTCCTCGTCACCAAAGAAATCGAAGGTAGCAAGATTACTCTCTTCGGATGCTGTTTTGGGGTACTGCAAGGAGCGGCGGGACCATGGGCAGTGCGGTGGATCGGAAGTGGCGGATATGGTGGCTTTGTCGCTTGTATTGTTGTTCTTATTACTGGTGTTTTCTTCTGGTTCTTGAGGTAGCTGCCATCGAAGCTTCCCCGTTGGAGGAGCTGCGTAGCGGATTCTGATTGACTCCGAGATTAGATCATAGCCCAGCCTGGCTTTAGTCAAGTGAAATACGAAATACATACCCCCTAAATATATTGAGGTTCAACGTTGAGTTATATGTTCCTTGATACCGTGCATACGGTAGATCGACAGTAGGCCCATCTGTGTTGACTGCGACTGCTGGGAGCGGCAGAAGAGCAAGAAGATAGGACTGGAGCCGCATGACACCGGGCAACTCAGGGCGGCTATTCAAGAACGAAAAGATGGCAACCGTGAGCGACGACAGTGAATGGGGCACCAACCAGAAGGCGGAGTGATGGGAAAAGTGTCTGGCCAACGTAATGATGGCGGTTAAGTATTCCTGAGTCTGCAGTTTTCGTGTGAAACCTTTGATAGTGGACATGGGTTAAATTCGAAAACTTAATCGCGGGCAAAACCACCCAGTCGGGGCATTGCAAACCCAATTCTCACCTAATAATCCAGAAGCAGACTTTTGGCCATGTAACGGTCGCATTCAACCGTGAGAATTTACCTTCTTCCCTACCATGTGTGACGAGTCATAATGAAATAATTTAACGTAAACCACTTATCAATGCTACAACAGAGTGTGTGTGATGACGAAAACGGAACTGTAATTAGCAATGCGCAATTACAGCGTGTATCATGTCGTATACACACATATACCCTGTCTATAATTTTAACTCTAATCGTCGGGAGGCTGGCTGCAATTTACACATTCGACTAAATTAAGTTTTGTGAAAATATGTTCACTGAGAGTATCAAGCTGGATATGGCGAAAGAAATAGCGTTGGTCAACACAGAACGCAAAAGGCTAGGGCGAGGAAGACTCCTTGCTGCAACATCTTCATATCCAGGACTACGACATCTTGCTCCCCGTTCCCTACTGACCATCAAAAACCAAAAGACTTTGAACGTTGACTTTGCCGAAGCCGCGTCGGCGTAACAATTCCCGACCGCGATGGATAGGGAATTCTGCTACAGCAATAAAGTTGACACGTTCGACATCGACTCCAGCCTTAACCAGCAGCTGCAGAACCGCACACAGCGTTTTCCCCGTAGCAAGCACGTCGTCTACCACCACCACTGTCCCACCCCTGGGAACCACATGTCGGCTCATCTCGATGCTCTTTTCTCCTGAGCTGTTGGATACCGCAGATGAAATATGTGACGAGGGCTTGGTAACTGACACGGTGGGCGCAGGGAGCTTGCCTGCTTCCCGAACCAGCGCTAAGGGCACATTGACTTGGGAAGCCAACGCTGACGCAAAGACAAAGCTGCCGGCTTCGCAGCACGCCACAGCGTCAACTTTGTTCCAATCGCCCGTGAAGTGAGATCGCAGCAGTGACGTGCACAGTGCTAGCCCACCCGGCTGCTCGGCGATGTTGAGCACGTGGCGGAACTGAATACCTTGGCGCGGAAAGTCCGGTATTGTACGCACCATGCTAGCCAGTTGATGCAGGTTCTCGTGGAAGAAGGGAAGAAGGTGTTTTTCTGCAAACTTCTTAGCCGCCTCGTCTCCGGCTGTGTCGTTCTCGAAGATGAAGTTGGGACGGTGGCCTAAAACCAGAGGCTCTGTCCTGTCGTTGGTGTTGTTCTCGTTGTTGTTGTCCCCGTTATTGTCATCACCACTGTGGCACCAACGTCGAGCCCGCCGTGTCTCTTTGGTAGCCTGGACCTGGACCTCAAGCATTCTACATCCTGGCACCAGGTGCGATAATGATGCGATTGGAGCCTTGTCTCTCATCCCAGTGATAAGCAGCACGTCAACATCTACGGCGTCGTCCACCACATTCAAAAAGGTTTCTTCTGGAAGCCGTGGTCGTTGCCGCACCTGGTCTCGGAAAAATGCTGTCAACGCTGGCCGGTGTTGCTCCTTGTAGGCCCGGTCGCCAAATAGGCGACTTAGGTCGGCACCAGTAGCCGCCGCGTATTCCTGCTTAATCACATCGCTGATGCTGTAGACACGCGCTCGGAGGCGTTTATTGGTGCGTTCAATAAACAGGGAAGCCCAGACGTCGGCACAGAAGTCCTTTCCGGAGCAGCTGTCGCCTGTGACAAGAATGATAAGTTCCCGTTCCATCACCGCTTTCGGGAGCGGGCAAGTGTAAGCTAGAATATTGCGTGGGTCTGAGATGCGTTTGAGACGGGACAGGCGGGGCCGATTCGGTCCGAAAGCCCTGACCGCCAGTGGAGCGTCTCTCGGGTCCGGCCCGAGGTCAGCGCCGTAAGCTCCGGTGCTGAGGGGCAGCAAGTTTCCGGCGACATGATAGACCCACTGTACGGCAGCTCTGTTGGTATCAGTGCCATCTTGATCACGGGGCCAGACACCCGTGATTACGCAGGCGAAGTCCCAATCTCGACAGCCAAAAGCAGTAGCATTGTCCGCCACGCTGCCGACTGCCCCGCCACCTTGTAGTAAATGGAAATAGCAGAGTGGTGAGGGACGAGTCCCAATGGCCTCCACTAGAACATCTACAATGGATTCCTCCGAGATCCGCTTCAGAAACAAACATCGTTTGAACGAAGAGGTTTTACCGCCGCCGTGCCCACCGTGCATTCTAGTCATGTACATCTCGGTTTCGAACATCTCGATGCTGTTCACGCGCTTGGAATCGGCTTCCGGTCCCCAGAGTGTGGTAATGAGTTTGGAAATGGGCGTGGACACCGCAGATCCGAGTCCAGTCGTAAAGGACTCAAATATGGTAACGCCAAGGTGCAGCCGGCCTTGGTCGCAGTACAGATACGCATCTGCAGAACAGTTTCGGGGGATCTTACTGGCGACGAGTTCATCAAAGCTGCCGAGCCTGAGCTGCACCTCGCGAGCATCGCTTAAAGGAATAATCCAGTTCCTGGTCAGGAAAGTGGGAGCTGGGTAAGCCGCGAAAGTAACGCTGATTACAATGCCAAAGTTTGTCCCGGCGCCCTTTATAGCCCATAGCAGATCGGACTCGTTGTCAGGCCGCACGGCGTTGGCTGGTCGGTGTTGGCGTGGTACGTGGCCGACGCAGAGAACCCGGCCCGAGTCAACGCTGACTATGATGGCACCGACAACGGCGTCGCATGCGAGGCCGTACAGCCTAGCAAGGTGTCCGATGCCCCCTTGTAGCCACAGACCGGCCCCAACGCTAGGGCGGGCGCCCAAGGGCACTGTCATACCAGCTGCCATGGCCTTACAGACGATGTCGCCCGTCTTGCATCCGGCTTCAGCAACGACCAAACAACCGGAGTCAGAGCCGGAATCTCCAATCCCGTCCCCCGCCGAGAGAATGTGAATTTGGTCAAAGGCGCCCATGTCAACTGAGACGACGTTGGGCAAGAGACAATGGCCGCTATGACCTCCGCCAACAACAGTCAAGCAGAACCGGTGCTCCAGGGCCCATCGCACGCAATGCTGCACTTGTCGGATCTCCGTTGGCCTGACAATCGATGCGGGGCGGTTGAGGCGAGCCTCTCGGTTTCTGACAGTCTTGTTCCCTTTCACCACCGGCACCTGCGCCTCTAGTTCCGGCAACATTGTCGAATGCCGAGTAAATGTTGCCATGATGTCGGGTGAGCTAAACAAGAGATGTCCCTGGTGGCTGCCCCCTTCATGACGACCCAGTGCGCGACACACCTTGCGCCACTCGGTTCGTACATCCATATCCTGCATCGAAAACCCTGCAATGAAAGATGCAAAACAATCCAGGGCCTCGTCATCATTTGCCACTTGAACAACGCCGGTTGGGAAACAAGCCGTCTGATGGCACACCAAACCGTCAAAATGCAGGGTCCCGTCCCGCTGGAAAACCACAATCATTCCGACTTCTGGCTGCTGTACAAGCATCTCCAAGGCCTTTTCGATGAACTTGCGTTTCGGCTTCATTCCATACATGCTGTGGCAGAATAGGATGATGTTGAACCCATCTTCGCTATCGCTCGTGCTGGTATTGGTACCGTTCTTCACAGGACTTCCAAGAGTGAATGGAGCATGATAGATCTCGGGCGCGCTTTTCATACATGGCAGCGGAGGTTCCGTGTTCGATGTAGGGGAAAGCCAATTCTCCAATCTGGTGGCAAACAGGCCATTGGGCTCAAAAGCAGCGTATCTCCCGATTTTCTTTCTCAGACCAATAGGCAGATATCCGAGTACGCTCTTCTGCCCAGGTCCGACCTCTAGTACAGAAATCTGACCAATCGAGGTGAATGAAGTGAGCAGCTGGGATAATTGAGGGAAAATGAAGTCTTGATACGCTGTCCAGCCCGAGCCTCGGGTCAGAATATCGAAGCCGGCGCTGTACTGTATGTCTGTTAACGGCTGCCTTGAAGACGCATCGTCTAAGGCTTTCTGCCTCAGAGCTAATTTGAGGGAATCGAGGGTAATCATTCTGGCTTAGAAAAACAACGTCTGAATGGTAACAGTGAACCTCACAGGGTAGGGTGATAACGAAAGTAGATGTAGGCGGGTATTGGGATATTATCTCCGACTAGCTCGTTCCAGGCTCTTTATCTCCCGACCGGTTCTCTGTTAATAAAATAAAGTGACTGGTTACAGAAATCAGGGAATGTCTGGTATTGAATCTAGGCAGAGTATAGTAGCCTGTTTGGCCAGTGAGCTGTGTGTTGTGCAACCTCAGGGGCCGGGCTTGGCCACAAACTTGCTTCTGCCAGCCGATAAACTGCTCCAAAGCTGCCTTCACAAGCTTCAAACACACTGCAAGCTGCGCAGAAGAGGAGACATGGACCCATCTTGTCGAAATTGCGCATAAAGCTGGACCAACAGCTACGCTTTCTGGGCCGTGGTCACACTGGAGGATGTGATTGCGCCTGGCAAGCAGGCGCTTACAGCTTTCCCATTTCCGACATACTATGCTGTGTAACCGCACAGACGTTCATAGTT